AATAAAACAGTTTGGTTTAAGTTTGGTCTTTGGTTCTTTCTCTATCTCTATTATTATTCATTTCAAAAATAATATTAAATTATACAAAAAATAAATTATGAACTTAACTTGTTAATATAATCAAAGTTAGTATAACAACATTTTTAAACGATGAAACACGTTTTATTATGGTTATTTTTAGTTACTAAACAAGATTTTCTTGAATCGTAAATTTCTTTCATGATAGTGTTCCACGATTTCATATTTTTTGTTGCAAAGTCTTTTTGATTTTTAATAACTTTTGCAATATGAAAGAAACATTCATTGACACAAAAATTTTGTTTGGCAGACGTTTCTATGAGTGACATGTTCCATTTCTTTGCAAATTTAATAACTTCTCGCTGGGAGACAAGTTGTGTATTTAAATCTCTTTTGTTTCCACAGAGAGCACATGGGATCTTCACATTCAAATCCATTTGTTTGTATTTGTTTATAACTTCAATGTATGATTCTAAGCTGCAAAATGTAAAATAATTGTCCAAAGAATAGACCAGAACAAAGCCATCGGATTTTTTTAAATATCTTATGTTGTAAGAATCATTTTGAATTATTTCACTTGAGTACGTGTCTAATATATCTAAAGCAATTGTCTCATTATCTATTAAAATTGTTTTATTATATGGATCTTGCCAAGTCAAGTCTGTTTCTTCTTCAAATTTGTCGAAGATGAACCGCAACTGTAGGGATGACTTCCCAACAAACCAATTACCAAACAACATCAGACGAATAGTTGGTACATTGTCCATATTATTAAATGTTGTTATGAGTTTATTTTGTTTACTAAAAAAACACATTAAAAAGAAATGGTGAAGTTTGTTATTAATTGTTTTTTGAAACATTTTATTTATTTTGTCAGATAGTGTCAGATTGGTTTATTAATAAATAAATATATTATAATACAATTAACGGAAAAAGTGGGATACTGAGAAAAAGGGGGATGCTTATCTTAATATTAATTAATTCAATATTATTAATAATAAATAATTAATATAAATTTATTTTGGTTTTTCCATTTTATTAATTTTTTGATTAATAATTTATATTAAAATTAATAGTAATTTTATTATTTTCAATTGAAATTAACCAATAGTTACAAGCATCCTTCTTTCTCTAGCATCCCCATATTTCCTAATTCTGTACAATGAAAGTGTTATATTATGGGTGAATTGTATAAAGATTAAGCTTTACAGTAAGTAAATGTACAGATATAATGCTTAAATTTTATCTGTTTTGATCAATCTAAAGTGGTTAAAACGTAGATGGAATTTAACAACTTCCCATATATTTGGCACTAAACCCCGCAATAATATTATCAATTGCAAATTTGTTTTTATTTTAAAATCGCAAAGACCTCGTAATTAAAAATAAAAAAAGAAAAATTATTAAAACAAATCAAGTTACAAAAAATAAAAAAAGCAGAAAATGCTCCTCTCAAAATATTGAACTTCAAATGAAAATGATAATAAAAAATGCATCGACTTCTACGCACCAATCACAAGAACACGCTTTGAAGAGATGATCATCGACTTTTTTAAGTCCAAAATACATCACGTTTAGAAGGTGTTAGTTGACATTAAGTTAAATAATGGAAGCATTTTGGATGTCGTCTTTATTAATAGGTCAATGATAATACCAAATGTAGTCCAAGTGTTGCGAAACTACTTCAATGGAAAAGAACCAAACAAGAGCATCAACCCAGACGAAAATGTTGTTTATGGTTCTGTTAAACAGGCCTTGTTTTGACAGGAAATGGTGAAAAAGTAACAGAAGACGCGTTGTTTCTTAATGTAGAAACTGACGCTTGTGATTGAGACAGCTCGTTGTGTGATGACCGAACTAATACCACAAAACACAACAATTCCAGCAAAGAAGTCACTATTGTTTTTGACCAATGCAGACAACCAGCCTGGTGTTTTGTGTTTAAAAGTGAGCATCAATAACCTCACATTACAATCGGTGAGTTGAGTGGAAGTTTGAGTTAAGTGGTATTTTATTGGCACCACATAGAGTCCAAATATAAATTCTCATTTAACATCAATTCAAGCGGTATCTCGTTTTACTGGCATTAGGAAAGAAGAATAAGTTCACTATACTTACAACAAAAAAAGATTTTCAATTTCCAACAGATCAACAAAATGGTTGGAAAAGCAAAGAAATAAAACATGAAACCAAAAAAATCAAACAAGGAACAGACTTCAAAACCTTTGTTATTATGTTTTAACGCGGCAAATAAATAAATTACTTCAAAGTTATCAATATGAGACAATGTTGTAATCAAGGCCGATGTCAAAAACACACTTCAGTTGTAGGTTGACAAGAACCATTCCGTATTAAAAGACTGTGTGTTGTTACAATAACACAATAAATTTTTCTTATTCTAAAGAAGTTCCATTAATTAAGATCAAACCACTCATTTTTTGAAACCACTGTTTTTGTTAATTAATTGGTCTTAAAAATATAGAAACCATTTTGAATAACATTGAAAATATTATAAGTGTTGTAAAAGTATTACGAAGTTTTTGTAAAAATAAAAATAACTCTTAAAATTGATTTTTTGTACAAATCATACAACAAATAAAATAAACATTCTAATCTCAAACTTTTATTTTTGAAAATGTTCGAATTCAATAAATATAAAATTCAATAATTAACCATTCATTAAATATAACTTATCAACTTTTGTAAAAATTGTTTGCTACAATGTTTTTATTTTATTGAATTTATTTTTATTTATTTCCAATGGCTGGATGAACACTGGATGTGCTATATGTCTTGATGGATATTACTATAAAGACAAAAACTGTATCAAATGCGACTTTTCGTGTTCAACACTAAAATACAATTTTATGTGATGTCTATGCAAATGACTATTATTTGTATGCACCTTTAAATCTTTTGTGTCAAAGTTATGACACTTTAATTGAATGTACCAACAAGACAAAGTATGGATGTATAGATTGTGAAAAAGGTTATTTTCTTGATCAACCAATTCCTCTTTGTGTGAAACGTATGAATAATTGTTCATACTGTGTATCACTGAAAAGTTGTAAATTATGTTCGACGAGTTTTGTATTGAAAATGAAATTTGTGTGAGTTATACTGAAATTCCATATTGTGTAGAAGCTTTTAATAATTTGTGCACAAAATGTGAAGAAAAATACAAACCATATGATGATGGTCTATTATTTAAATTTAAGCCCAATTTAGCTTTGATCATTTAACTTACTATCGTCTTTTTCTTTCTTCTTGTAATATTTATAGCAATAAAAATAATGATTACAACTTATTGTATTTGCACCTCAAAGAGAAGAAAAAGATTGTCAACGTCTGCATCTTCCCAATGAAGAAGTAGAACATTCATTTCTTTGAAATCAACAAATGACTTGTTTCAAAAACAAAAGTTTTAGAACTTGAAAATAACGACACATGAAATGAGAGTATTCCCATGGATAAAAAAAATTAATTGTTATGTGTAGTACATAAATCCAAAAATCACATAAGAATCAATTTAGTGTTATTAAAGGTTGAAACTATAACTTAATTCGTACAGAGCCAAAATTTGTGAATTTAAAGAGTGGCGAAGCGTGTGAATTTGAAGTCTTTTTAACGCCACTGTGTTTCTGTAAAATAGAAGAGAAAATGTGTGCAAAGGTTTAGACATAAAAAAGTAAAGATGACTGAACAAATTAAATTTAAAGCAAAGATCGAAATGACGACTAAATTAGATAATCACGAGTTAAAAGAAATTAAGAAACTTGGAGAAGGGAGTTTTAATATAGTTTATTTAAGTGATTTTAAAGATGACAAAGTAGCTATTAAACAATTAAAAGAGGGTTGTGAGACACGATCTAAAATGAAAGAGTTTGAGAAGGAAATTGCAATGTTAGATAAATTTAAGTGTGAGTACATCGTCCACTTTTATGGCGCTGTCTTCATCTTAAGTCGAATTTGTATGGTCACCAAATTTGCTTTAGGTCTTTCAATGACTTTATGAATAAAAGAAAGGAACAAGCACAATGAAGTGCAATTCAAGCAAAATTCATGTTGTACAAGGCGAAGGGGATATCATATTTACATATAATGGGATTGTACACAGAGATATAAAACCAGACAATTTACTTGTGTTTTCACTTGAAATTAATGAAAAGGTCAATTCAAAAATGACGGATTTTGAAGTGCGAGAAACATTAATATGATGATGACGAACATGACATTTACTTAAGGAGTTTGGACACCAAAGTATGTGTTTCCTGAAGTCTTGAAAAAATATATATAAAATGCCGAGTGATATCTTTTTGTTTGCTATTATTATACACAAACGTTTACTTGGAAAGAACCATACCCAAAAAGTCAATTCAGATTTGAATGGAGCATCACAGACTTCTTGTTAAAAAAATCACTTTAAGAAAGTTATCGAAACGGACGATAAGATATATTCACTGCTCGATAAAATGTGGTGCTTTGAATTTAAAGATCGAATCAAAATTGACGAAGTCGTGGTAGAACTCGAAGATTATATGGGATTTTATGAAAATCGACAAAATACATTTTGTTGTTGTCTTTTTTTAATTATTGTTTGGGGCAAAAAAACACACAAAAGAATAAAAATTCAATTGTAATTTATAAAAATTGGAAAAAAATAAAACAACATTGTAAAATGTTAATTAATTGATTTATTTTGTATTTGTTGAAGGATATATTAAATAAAAATATATTTGTCATATTATAAACATTGTTTTTGCACAAAAATTAAAGTAATACGAGTCATAATTAATACAATTTAAATAAACAATAAATATTTAAAATTTAACTTTATATATTACAAAAACAATAATTTGAAAAAACATGCAAATTATTAATATCTATGTATTAATAAACATATTTATAATCCGTTGTTTTAAATTTATATCAAATTTATTAAAATAATTTTCTTATATCTTTGAAAACAAGAAAATGTTAATGTATTTTAGAATTTAATAAAAATAAAATATATTGAAACATTACAATTGTCAAAAATTTTAAAACGAAAGTATTATTATAAACGTGACAGGCAAATTACATTTAATCAAAATTATTATTAAATTGTAAATTATATCATGTATATCAATCATTATGTTTTAATAATTAACATCAAAAGTTTAACAACCAATTTTCAAATTCATTTTTATTGTTTATTGACAAAAAATTAAAAAATGTATATATTTGGACATTAAATTTTCACATAAACTTAAAATGTTATAATTGTTTGTTTTCGCTTGAATAATTATAGACTTGATAATGGCTGTTTTTTTTCATTTACGATTATTGGATCGTTTTTAAAAATAATATGATTAATGTTGATCAATTAAAATACTTTATAAAGAAATCTTTCAATTATATTCTGATACATTTGTTAAACAAAATTTTATATGCATGTTAAGTACATAATAACAATTGTTTAAAACATTACAATAACAAAAATATTATTTTGTTATTTAAACAAAAATATAAAAATAGTTATTTGATAAACCAAACAAATTAATATTTTTATATTATTTATTATGTAGTTCGGTTATGATCATCATCAATCAATTTAAATTTATTAGACTCAATAAGTGATTATTTGTCGTTTTAAAATTATTTTGATTTTAAACTTGGCTGAATAACATGTTATATATATGAGCAATTTATATATTGGAATTTATTTTATCGAACAATAATTAATAATATATCTATTCAAAAACAACAAATTATTTACTTTTTGAAAGTGTTTTGATGTGATCATTTTATTTTTTAACTTTTAATATTGTTTTGATAATAGGTTTCATTAAAAATATGGTCGAAACAATTATTTTAAAATGATGTGATTTTACTTTTTTATTTGAACAATCGGTCTATATATTTTGAATTGTGTTTTGAGTGTAGCAAAATAATTGAAATACAATTAGTTGTTATAAATTGTCTTTTTGAAACGAACATTTTATTAACAGTAATTTATTATTTGTGTTTTTATTAATATTTTTAAAAATGTTTCGAATTGCTTCTCTCCATTTTAACGATATTTTTTAAAAACAATTTTAGGATTTATATTTAAATATGTTGATCATTAAAAACGGTTCTTATAAAAACAACTTTTTCTATGTTTTTTTTCAGACTGAACTTTGAAACCAAATTCAAAAAAGTTCATTTAATTAATTATATTTTGTTATTCAAAAATAATTAAATTATAATAAAGTATCCCATAAGTACATCGTACTGTTTTTGACATTATTTTAATGGTTTTGAAGAGGTATAAAAAGAAATTTTGAAATGTACTCATTCATTCAAATGCAAATTCTTATATTAACTGCCTGTTTACTCTTCTGCACAAATGCAGCTGAAGAAACTAAATGTTACCAGATTGATGCTACCAAATCATGTATCAAAGATAAAGAAGGTGATAATAAATGCAAAGGAAAACTTACTATCAAAGCTGAGGATAATAAACCTTTATGCGAAGAGGCTTTTATGGGAAATGAAGCTATCACAAATTTTGAATATAAACCAGAACAGAAAGTTGTAATTGGCGCAAGAGCATTCAAAAATGCTACAAAATTGGCAACAGTCACAATCAAAAACAAAATCCAATCTCTTGGTGATGAAGCGTTCGGTGGGTGTGTCGCGCTGACAACAATTGAATTGAAAGACCTTACTACAATTCCAACAAAATGTTTTGAGGGATGTACTTTACTTACTAAAGTCACCGGAAGTGAGACCATCACAATATATGAAGAAAGCTCATTCAAAATGAGTGGTCTCACCGCAATAACATTTGCAGAAACTGTTACCAAATTCGGAGACTACGCTTTCATGGGAACCAAATTGACAACAATTACATTTCCAACAACAGCTGTCACAACTTTTGGGAAGCGTGTCTTTGAGGGAATAGTTACTTTGACATCAACAACTATTACAGGTACGACAACAATCCCAGACTTTACATTCAATGGATGCACTAAATTAGCAACAGTCACTGGGTTTGATGCAGTTACTTCATTTGGCGATTCATCTTTTTCAAAAACCGCTATGCCAACAATAACTTTTAATAAGGCGGTTACTAAATTAGGAGATTTGGCTTTCAATGCAGTCACAGCAGTTACAACTATTATAATTCCAACAGTGACTACATTTGGAATACATGTCTTTGACGGAATCACCACATTAAAACACGCCGATTTGTCTGAGAATATAATAATTCCTAAAGGTACTTTTTCGGGATGCTCGGAGTTAAATAACGTTTCAAGCACACAAAAAGTGGCAACAGTTGGAAAAGAAGCGTTCAAAGATTGTGCTAAACTTGAGAATCTCAATTTGTATGCGCCACTAACGACATTATCAGATACATTAACAGGCGTTAAGAACTTGTTCTTCCATGGTAACGTAGAACCAACAACTCTCCCAACTGAAACTGAATTGAACAACAATTTGAATGTGTACGTCACCGAAAACTACACAGCTTCGAAATTTGGAAAGTTGACAGTTTTCAAGGCGGGATGTACTAATTTCCAATGTGTTGATGTTTCTCCTGCAGTAAAACCAGCTGGTAAAATGGCGGGAGAAATCGCACCCAAATGTAAAGCATGCCCAAGTAATTTCTTGAGTGTTGATGGAAATAACTATTACTGCGAGTATGATATGACTGTTTGTTTGGCTGCTCATGAAAAGTGCAAAGTCTGTGCGGAAAATAAATGCTATGAATGTAAGGAAAATAAATTCTTGAAGGAAGACCTCTTTGAGTGTTTTGATGCATGTGATAATGGGTATTATAGTGATGATTCAACCAAAACTTCACACAAATGCAAAAAGTGTTTAGCAGAATGTAAAACTTGTACTGAAGGAACTAAATGCACTGAATGTGCAACTGGTAATCTCCAACCAGAAGACAAAACTTGCAAAAAGGATTGTCCAGATGGATATTTTGCAAAGGACAAGGTTTGCACTGCTTGTGTTGCAGATTGTAAGACTTGTACCGATGAAACAAAATGCACTGTTTGCAAAGACGATGCTCTAACGGTTGAAGACACCAAAATGTGTGTGAAAGACAAATGTCCAGAAATGTATTACAAATCTGAAACTGACAAAATGTGCAAGAAATGCACTGACAAATGCAAAGTCTGCAGCAATGCGAATGACTGCCAAGAGTGTGTTTCACCAAACATGTTAGAAGAAGGAACTATGAAATGTGTTGATAAATGTAAAGATGGGTTTTATAAAGTCGACAACAAAAAATGTAATATGTGCATGGCAAACTGCTCGATCTGTGCAACAAAAGAAAAGTGTGACAAGTGCAAAGAAAACTATTTTATTTCAGATGACAAGTGTGTTGACATGTGCCCAGAAAAGTACTTTGAAAAAGAAGGAAAGTGTGAGAAGTGCAAAGACAAATACGACACTCCATGCAAAGAAGGTGACAAAGAATGTGAGGTTTGTGTGAACAAAAGTGGGTCATTTGGAACTTATGTTCTCGCTTTGGTATTTATCTCGATGGTTTTTTTCTAAACAATTTTTCGTTGGTTTTGTCTTTATTAATTATTTATGAATGGAACAATATCTGAGTGATTTGATTGATATTACTTTTGTCAATAAAATAAAGAAAATGTTGTCAATTTGAAATAATAATACCAATTGATATTATCTATAACAATCGGTATTATGTTATTATTAAAAATTATTATTTAAAGTTGTGTCCATGTGATAAAACTGTATCGGTGTGAAATTATTCACTGTTGTAACATGTGATTTTTCTTATTATTTAAGTTTTTATGTTAATAAATTCAGAAATGAACTTCAGTTGTTATTATTCTAAATAATCGGGAAATATGGCACAAGTTCTAATCATAATGATAAAATATAGACTTTATCACTTTCTGTTCGTTTTTAGTGATTTAGTGTCAACACTTTATATCCACGAAGGTTGATCCATTTTGGATATAATTTTATAAATATTATATAACAAATTCTATTATTTAGTTTATTATAATTATTTAATAATAATTTTAAAAAAGTGTTTTTACCTTTCATTCTCTTTCAATTATATTCTAATATCATATTATTTGTAATATGAAACTTTAATCACTTTATTATATATAATTCGTTTTTAAGTAAATTATTGCGTTTGATTTGTTATTAATTTATATTTACTTTATTTTTAAAGTTTACACATTTTAAATGTTTTGAATACAAATGTACATTTAATTTGTGTATTTTAATGTTAACCATTTTCTTGTTTTTGAATATTAACATATTAATAATTTTACATATATGCAGAAATTTAAAAATGACTTTAAATAAATAACAAAGGTGTCAAATATTTTTTTGTATAAAAATATTAATAACTTAATAATAAACTCAAAATAAGTGCATAATTTGATGTTGACTTTGCTCTCGTTTTTATTTTGCTTTCTTAATGTTTGATTTAAAACATAGTGAACTTATCATTGATTAACAACTTTTTTGTTTTACGGAGATATTTTGTTATTATTAATATTTTGGAAACATAACTTTTTTAAAAAATTGTTTATTAAACCAATTCAGCAAAACCTCTTATAAGTAGATTAAATGGTAAAATAGAATCTTTCAATAATGGATATGAAATTATTATATCCCATTAACAAGTGTTTGTTATTTTGATTGTTTTAAATGTCTCTTAATGAAAAAAACTATTAATGATAGGTTTTATTGTATTACTTTTTATATCACATTAAAAAGACAATAATTTCAACACAGCCAATTTGTTATTAAAAAGTTAAGAATAACGATAAATAAACCGTTTTGTTGTTTACAATATAAAGATGCATAAAGTCTGATGTTTGTTATTCACTTTGTATTTATGAACAACAAAACTAATTGTTAAACAAAAAATGGCCACACTATGCAGTTATCATGGCATGATAGTTTCAAAATACTTTAAGACAATCAGAGACTTTATTAGATTAGAGTTTGTATGTAAAAAGTATTATTGCAATATGGAGAAGTTTCATTACAATCCAATTCCATTAAATAGCAAAACTCTATTCAATTTTTCACATATTGAAACACTTCATTTATTCGATGTGGAAGATGAGACCTTTGGAAATGACATTGTAGGAATTGTCCAGAACATAAAAAGATGCATTTTACTAGTCGAGAAGTCTTTTTATGAGATTACAGTGTGGTTTAATGTTGATTACACGACAGTAGTATTAAACAAGAACAAGAACTTTCTATTCAAAAATGTGACATACACCAAAAACGACAGAGAGAAATTTGGCACAACCATTTCACACTATGTAAGATCAATTGGAGATCACTGTTTTGAAAATTGCAAATATATGAGCAGTGTAGAGATCCCATCATGTGTCACATCAATTGGTGAATATTGTTTTAGTGAATGTAAAAACATCAACACGGTGACGATACCTTGTAATGTAACTACATTGAATGACTACTGTTTTTATAGATGTAAGAAATTGAGTACTATTAATCTACCATTACACATCTTAAGCATTGGTAACTGTTGTTTTGAGAAATGTAAACATTTAAGTAGTGTAACAATACCTTTACATGTGACATCTTTTGGTGTTAGTAGTTTTTGTGAATGTTCTACTCTGAGCCATTTAGATATACCAGCAAGTGTTTTAAGCATTGGCAATTTCTGTTTCTTTGCGTGTTGTAGTCTGAGTGATGTTAATATACCATCGAGTGTCACATCAATTGGTCACAACTGTTTTAATTGTTGTATTAATCTTACTAGTGTAACAGTATCGGCTCAAATTAAATCTTTAGAACATGATTGTTTCTTTAAATGTAGTAATCTGAATACTATTATACTTCCAAAGTCTATCACTTCTATTGGGGAAAGGTGTTTTTGGAGATGTAAAAATTTAAGTACAATACAAATCCCATCAAGCGTTCAAATAATTGGGGATCATTGTTTCCATAAATGTTATAATTTGAAAGATATAACTTTACATCATAATGTGAAAACTGTTGGGAATTGTTGTTATTATAATTGTATAAATCTGAGCACTGTAGTAATACAATCCAATGTCAAATTTGGCAATGACTGTTTTTTCGGATGTACAAATTTAATTAATGTAAAGACGATAAAAAGAGGCACATCTTTGGGTCAAATTCCTTTTTCATCAAAAACTATTCACCATGATAAAATGAACAAAAAAGATCATAAGAAATGTTCATTTGTATGAAAATACTCAATAACTTTCAGAAATTATATTCATTTTTATTTTTTATTTTGTGATTTGATAATTTTTTAATAAAACGCGTTTTATTAAAAATGTCAATTTTTTAAAAAAATATTATATTAAAGACAACCAGAAAATAGTCTTACACCTGTGATATTTGTATTAAAATAACTAAAATTTATATAATAATAATTAGAATAATAAATTTACTAATAAGCAAAAAATTATTTTTTTGTAAAATATGAAACTAAAAAAAATATACTGAAAAATATATACTATACAATAAAACAGTGTGTATGAGTATTTTTTTGATGGTCTTTTTGATTATTTTTCGTTTTAAATTGGTGTTTGGCCAAAAAACAATTTGATGTTTTTTTTGGTTCAAATATATATAAATTTAAAAATATTAATTTGGGACAATGTCTATTTAATTTGACATGTTATTTTTAACTTGTCAGTTAAGTTTTATTTTTTTTACAGTTAAGTTAAATTTTTCAAATTTAACTTAACTGTAAAATGTGGTCCATAAAAACTAATGATGGTAAGAAACTCAAAAAAATAGCACATATTAATATTATAATGTTATGATTAAAAAGTAATATTTGTGTTTTTGATTAATATGGACACTGTTGACACTTTATTTTTATTGTTGTATGTATTGTGTTAAACACTCTACATACATTTTAGTAACAATTAAAAATGAATATTGTCTTTTAATAATTTATTTTTAACACATATTAATAATAATATTTATTACATAATTAATTCATATAATATACTAAAAACATAACAAATTAAATACTACACAAAATACATTGATTTTTTATTAAATAAATATCAAATTTAATAATTAACTAATATAATATGTTATGTTAAGCTACACAATGTGTATTAAATTTCCAAATTAAACATACACAAAAAGTGTAATAAATTATATTATAAATGTAAAAAATAAAAACACATGCTATTATACAGACTTATTCATTTACACAATTCGATTAAATCGTAATTAATTATTTTGAAAATTATGTTTTGATTTTGACGAATTTAAATAAAATATTTTAAAATGTGTATAAATACTTAATAAAATCTATTAAATAACAATGGAAAGCGATTTGACAACACTCTCAACACTCTGCGTTGAAGCAGCAAAAACAATTTCTGAACTCCACGCAACAAAAGAGGAAGAAAATTATGTTGACGACAAGTCACTTGATATTGAACAACGAATTCAAAATGCAGATGTATACTTCAACAAACTCAATGAAGAGTTCAAAAGAAAAAAGAACATTGCAACTTCACTCAACACATTTATTGCCACTTTTGACGACACATACACCAAATTCAAAAAATGAATTGGCTTCATACAAAACACTTGATAATAACGACAAGTTGAATGAGATATGCAAACTCAGAATGGAACTTCACGAAGAGAAGTGTAAAAAGGACACAAAACAACATGAAGACCAAATTAAAAAAAATCCAAGAAGCTGAAAACGCCAAAATGGATGAAATAAAGAAGTTTATAAATTCAAACACAATGAAAATGTCGAAAATGTAGAAATAAAAGAACAAGAAGTTAAGAAAATAGAAAAAGTGGTAAAAAAGGAAGAATTGGCAAAAGTAGAAAAGGTTGAAGAAGTTATTAAAAAAGAAGAAAAACCCGAAAAGGTTGAAAAGGTGGATGAAGAAACTGAAAGAATGTCTCAAGAACATATCACCCTTAAAGAGAAAGCTTTACTTGAAAAATTAACAAAAAAGAAAATTGTGAGTGTATTGTTTGACTCAAACAAAGACGACTGGTCACCTCACACCACTGTATTTAGTGCAAAACTCATCAAAGAGAGCAACTTATGCTTTTTAATAGAAGACAAAAAGAACAACAAATTTGGTGCTGTATTTTATAACACAGTCAATGAAATTATGAATTGGAATTGCGATGTTAATGCATTCCTCTTTTCTCTTGTGAGAAATGGCATTTTCAGTCCAAGAAGGTATAAAGTAGGAGGTAATCATTATGGTAATCAATTCTATATATTCTCTCGAGACAATGAAAAACTTTGTGATTTTGGCGATCACGATATTTGCATCTACAAAAAAGGAGGGAAAAGCTGTTTTTGTACAAAAGACACCTACACTGCCGAATTAAACGATTTGATCGATGGGGACTTCTTTGATATTAAGAATTTTGTTGTCTTTTAACTTAACTGACTTGCTCGTCATTTTTTGTGATTTTTGTTTTTATTTAAAATATTTTGTAACATGCACAACCAGGCGTTTTCCAAAATTCACACAGTGAATGCCGAATCCCAAAAATGCTTCAGTCTTATTTTATAGAATGTTTTTTCTTTTAAAAATACGTTTTTGGGAAAAAATTAACACCAGCCCCCTGTTTTTTAAAACAAAAACGAGGCAAAAAATTAATACGCCTGGTTGTGGTAACATGTAAACTGTTAATAAAAATTTGGATTTAAAGTTGATGAAAAATAAAGTTTCCCCTTTGTTGTGAGTAAAAAACAAAGAAAAAATAAAGTTGCACATATGTTCGGAATGACTTTACATAAATATTTATTTTCTATTCAGTTTTTTATTAATGTTTTTGAATTATTACAAAATGTTATTAATTTTATAACAATAAATATTATATTTTACAATACTTTAAAAAGAGCTGGTCTTTTTTACATTTATTCCAAGTATTTTGGAGATGATGAACAAAAAAAATGGCAAACATGTTATTTATAAAATACCTGAACGTTAACTAGTTAGTTAAGTTACGATTTAAAAGTAGTTAAAGAGTGTTAATACCTTCACTGCTATGTTCAAGAACAAAATCTCGACTTAAATTTTCTTTATCGACATAACACGGCTGTATAGTGTTAAAATAGTTCATGTCAAATAAAGGTATTGCGCATGGCGTGTTGTCGATATTTGAAACGATTACAGGGACATAGTATATTGGCACTATTTCATCTACATTGTTTAAAATGCTTTGTAGTTGAGAAGATGTGCTGATTTGACTCACATTTTCTTCTTTTTCCAATTTAATTTTGACGCTCGTGTTTTCGTCTTTTTCAAAATTTTTTAAAAAAATTTGGTCTTCGCAGTCCATCAATTTTTCCTCTTGTTTTATAAACTTTTCTTCAGTTGAATTTTCCAAAGAGTTAATATTTTTTTCCATCTTGTAAGTAATAATTTCCCTTTCATACTCATCAAATGTAACATTTTTAATGTTTGAGTATTTGTTGTTGAATTCATTTGGAATTTTTCCCAAATAAACTGCCGTGTCACTAGCTCGAGTTTTTCTTTTAATTTGCAAATTTTTGAAACAATTTAAAAAGAATTGTAAACCACACGCTCCGTCGTCTTTTTCAGTTTTAAATCTTTTTCTCATCTCAAAAGTGTTACTTTTGATATTGTAAGACGGGAGAAGTAACAATCTCACACTCGACAACTTATTTGGATCTTTTGCTGTTTGAGTTTTTTGTTCAATTTGGTTGTTTGAAGGACAGAATGTCTTAATTTTAGTATTCATAAAGTTCATGACAGAGAGCAATTTTTCGTTGTTAGTGATGTCTTCTGTTATATTACTTTTAGACGCTGTTAAGCGTTCTGAAGTATTTAATATCAGACTCGCCTTTATTGGAATACCCTTTGCGTCAAAGACTATGTTAGAATTGTCAATGACATATTTCTGATTTGAGTCGTAGACCAACTCGCCATTCTCATTAAATATGCAAGCAATTTCAAAGCGAGCTGCCATTTTAGAGCTTCGTCTCTTCTTGTTAAGTATGATGAAAGAATACTTTTTGTTTATTGCTAAATAACTGAGACAAGAGTGAATGTAAAAGTATTTTGAATCTGTAGAGACACGTTTCAATTTGGCATTTCTCATTTTGCGGTCTTGGAAGCAAGTGCTTGATGAAGTGAATTGACTCATTGTTTAATTATTGAGATGTGTGTGCATTTTACAATCAATAAATACGTTATTAATCATTTTTTATTTGTATTGATTTTAAACACTTTCATTGGCTGTTTTTCTTTTAATATTCATTTTCTTGTGTAAAACTGTTTGCGTTCCCGATTATTAAACGTTTTTTATTATAATTTTGATTTTAAAATGGCTAATAAATTTGTATTTGTATGGGTTCATTCTAAAAATAGTATAGTTCATTACAAATTTTGATGAGGTAATAGAGATTTTTTTAATTTATTGAGTCAGAATTTTAACTTTATTTGGTGGACATTAAATAGCTTTAATTTTATATAAACATTGGGTATAAGGAAAAACAAAAAGTACCAGATGTTGTTTAAAGACAGACCTTACATTTAGTATAAAAACTCTATATATTTATTTTCCTTAAAAAGAAATTTAGTATGTTTAATAAATATTACTATTATTTAAACTATTTTCCAATAACACAACCAAAAACATAAATGAGTTAAAGTCATTTAGCCAATCGTTTCATTTTTTCTGTTTGTCAATAAATGATAACATTGATATTGTTATTTTCCCAAAAATAACGGAAATACCGTAAACAAACTGAATTATTTATTCTTTTTCTTGAAGGATTTTGCTTTTTAATGTAAGTACTTTTTCAACTTTTTAAATCAACTCTTTCGAATAGAAAACTGACGTCCGCGCAGTAATGACCATTTCCCACAACTTATACCATTGCTTCGCAAATTGGGATAAAGTGTAAGTTAAGAAATTGCTCTTTTTTTCTTTTCCATTATTTAGAATAACATTTTTAAAGAATGTTATTGTTTTTTTTATTTTAATAAACGTAGTTTTGGAAATAAAATAATTAACCCTTCGAGGACTGAAAAATTTTTATTTTTTTCTTTTTTTTTCAGAAAAACATTTCAAAAAATAATTTCACTTTTCCAAAAAAATGAAAATAATGGCGATTTTTAATAAACAATTTAGAACGATTTTTGACTTATTTGATAAAATAGTTCAATTTAAATTCAAACTTTTGAATTATTTATAAAACATTTCATCATTCATAAACTCAAATTAATTGGGTTTTGTAAAAGATTCGTCCTTCAATCAATAAAATATATAATTTAACAAATTAATATTAGTAAAATAAATAAAACGAAAATAAACTGTTTTCATAAACAAATAAAAATGGTAATAAAACTGATTAAAAGGATTCATGAGGATTGTTATTTTTTCTGAGGATGGTAAATATCTTAAACATAATTTCTTTCATTTTAGATTTTTTTTGCCTAAGATCAAAAAGGTATATTTTGAAACACATGATTTTCTTTAAAAATGCTATTTATGGATTTTTTGAAAGATGATTCTTTCAGTTGATTTTTACAAAAAAATAATCTACTTCTATTTTTTGATTTACCACAAGACTAACCTTGGTTTATATGAAAACATTTGAAATTAATTTAATTTATCGAAAAAGTCAATTTTTAATCAAAATCACAAAACAAATTAATCAAACAATTTTTAATCTTTTTTTCACAAAAAAATACAATTTATTAAAAATCAATTCATGAAATTTCAAACAATATAAATTGATAGCAAATAACGTACTGATAATTAATATTTTATGCGATGACAATTTATGTATTTGCGCAAATTCAAAACGCGAGGTTTTGGATATCGATAAAACAACGATTAATAAATAAACAAATTTGTAAAATAAAATCATTTTTGTTATAAACGGTTTTATTTATTTTTCAAAACATATATTCACAAGAAATATATGTTTATATTATTTTTTTAAATACAATATTAATTTCAATAAATGTATCTTTAATTCAATAATCAATTTTGTATATTATTTGGCGTTTTTGTTGTGTTTTGACGATTTTTGATATAATCAATTATCAAAACTCACTTTATAAATAATCTTTGAAAATATAATGTTAAATATAGAATTTTAAATCAGTAGTGGCAGTGCTATACATATCTCTGAGGATGGTAAGTCGTGTAACAAACAAACATTGTCAACACGAACTTAAACATCTAAAAAGTGAAATGACGTGTTCCCATATTCAAAAATAGTAACTTACTCAATATACATTTCAGACAGACGTAAAAGTGATAACTTTCTATTTCTGTCATCCTCAGAAAATAATTGCCATCCTCAGAACTGTAAATCTGTTTAAAACACAAGTTAATATCAAAATGTAACAATCATATTAAAATATACACAATATGATTAACTTTATTATTACAATAAATTTGAATAATTGCATAAATTACAAAGTTATTAATAAATTTGTTATTTTAAAATCACATTTTTAGAAAATCAGTGTTTTCGACTTTTTCAATTTTCATTTTGATAAAAAAACAATTATCAATTTAAACGTAAATTTCAATCGTTTTGTTATTAAGACGGACTCGGAAATAATATCAATAAGTATATAATCATAATGTGAACAAGTACAATTCACACTTTGTTATTTCCCGTCTCAAGTAAGCGAGTTATAATTATTGTTTATGTTTATAAATTATCGTAACGATTTTTTAATTGTTTTTAATCTTTTGGCATTTATGACAAATTATTACCATCATTTAAAATTTGAACTTTGACTCGAAATATGAAGTGTAAATTATAACTTGAGTTATGAGAGTGGGCCTTATGGGGAACTGAACCTTATGGATTTGTTTTTTGTATCCTCAGAAAAATATTTTTTAATAAGGATAGCTTTGATCCTGAGGATACACCTTATCCTCAAGAAACCCTTAAATAATATTATCAGATATTCAAGTTTTTCAAAAACAAAATAAAAAACACTTAAAAAGTGTGCAAATTTGTGGGTTTGATATAACCAATAAGATTGGTTCAAACCAAAATAAAATAAGAACATAACAAAAATATTGTTGTCGAAATTAAAAATATTAGAGAACCAAATAACATCAAAATATTACGATAAAAACCCACTACTTACTATTAATTTTATGTGTTATTGTATTAACACAACAATAACATTAAAATAATTATCTTATATGGTAAAACAAGGTTATAAAACATCAATTTAAGTCGAGAAAAATAGCAGTTTTGGATACATTATACAATGCGTGACAAAAGAATAATAAATTGTATAGTAATTTTAATTAGAAATAAACTGTAAAAAATAAACCTTTGAATAATATAATTGATAGTAAATTTATTATATATTTTATGATTGATTATAACAATAATTATTAAAACTAAACCAAATGAACACCAATACAAATATAATTAAATTGAGCCAAGCATAAACAGCCTTCTCATGCTTAATCCTTGTTCATCTGCAAGCACCTCCTTTTCATGTCTGTCGTTAATGCCTGAGTACATAGATGTTCCGCTTGAAAAGACGATGTTTTTATACAAGTCCTTTCTGATATCAACATCGCACTTCATGATTGAGTTGTGAGTAGTATCGTGGATACCTGATGCTTCCATAACAAGTAATGGTATGGAAGAGTGCTTCTGGGCATCTGAATCTCTCGTTGTCAGTGATGATGACTTGACTGTTTGAAGGTTTGTTTAATTTTTCAAGTTCTGATGATGAAGCAGATTTTTGCATTTTTTTCGTCAAATCAAATGCAAGGCGGCAAAATTATTTATAGTAATAAGTTATTATTTATTTTTTGAATTTTTATTCCAAATATAACAAGAAATTATGTGTTATTTCACATGATTATTTAATGTTGATTTACGATATTTATTCGAATTTCAAATGATTTTTCGGGATATAAGGATTAAAAAATGATAATTTTTGATTACAAATTGGTTTCGCACATTGTTGTTTAAAATAGTGCAACTTTAAACTATAAATTTATCCATCACAAATCTTGAAATAACTAACTCAATAATTGTGTTTATTCAAATTTATGTCAAGTATTTTCTTTGTTTTATCGCAAACTTTTTTGTTTTGTAGCAAGTGACGTTATTTTATGCAAGATTTGATTAGTACTTTTAATCAATTTTAACCATTATATTGTTTAGCAATCTCCAAATAAAAACACGAAAATGCTCTTTGCATTTAATTTGTTAAAATAGTATTCATTAATTAAAAATAACTATAACAGTCTTGCATTATTAAAACAATTGAACAAAACGGGGTAACCTTACTCTACGTATTTTTAAAAATTTCAAACAAAAACGTCTATTTAAAAACACAAAACACAATTCGTTACAAAATCAATTGAATAAACGATACATTATAAATTATTTAATATTTTTAACTATAATTGTAAATAATATTATAAGTGACATTTGTTTGTCTATTTCTCATTGATCCATTGTCGTGGAATAACAGATAGTCGTTAATTTAAAATATTCTTTAAAATTATCTATTTAAAACAAAAATTTTTTTAATATTTTTGTTATTTGATGTATTTGAATAACATTATTATACATTATTGTTATTAAAATCAAATAAATTAAACTATAATAATTATTATATAATCATTCTAGACTCTATATTATTATTGGTAAAATAATAATATAAATATAGTTTGTAATCAATTTTAACATCCAAATAATTTAAATTGTCATCTATATAACAACTACATCAAGTACATAAACACTATGTATCTTCGATAATGATAATAATATAAATAAGGGTCATTATACCATTTTTGTTATAATTATAATTTAATTTCAATACTATTTTAATAAACAACATTGTGGTATCATCACACTAATAGCAAATCACTATGATTATACCATCTTGTAGTAAAGATATGATTGTTGATGTGTTATTGTGTCAAAATTGTCTATTGATAATTACTATTATATATAACAATTATAATTATAAAACTATTATAAATAACATGATAAATTATTAATAATATATTAATTTATTTTATTATAAATTATAGTTTAAAGTGTTGTCATAAATATATTTGTGTTGTCTTTACACTTGTGTTTTTCTTTGTTTTTCATTATCTCCATACATTTACTATAAGTTTATTGTTTGTTGCCCAAAAATGCATAAATTGAAAATGAATAAACAATGGCTGCAAAATAAACAATTGTTTACCAAATACAAATCTTTATATTCTAAATAGATTGCATAAAACACGTTTTGCCTTTTGTTTTTGTTTGAAAATGATATAAAAACAATTAGAAACAATCAATTCATATATTGCTTCCTCGACAGTGGCACGACTTGAATTTCAACGAGTGATCACAAAACCTCGTGGTGATCAAAGTTTATTTTAATGCGATTATTTTTATTGTTAAAGTTGATTTTATAAATTTTTCTCGATTTTGTGATTTTTGATACTTTTGAAAATGTATTTTACTTATTTTTTGAATATTTTACACTAATTTTCTTTAAGATTTATTTTTCAAAGTCGGAACAAACAAAAGTGTCTTTTCGTCTTATCTTATTTCTTTTACAGAAAAAATAGTAAAACCCAATTTTTAAATTTTTGTATTTTTCAAAGTTTACAAAAAATCTATTTAATTTCTTTTGTTATTGTTTTTGAGATCAATTGCATAATGAAATTTCAATACACCTCAAAGTCTATGTTTTATTTCTTTTTCTTTGTTATTTTATGATGCAATTGATTTTGAATATTCCGGACCAGTATGTTTTACGTTGCAGTTATCTCTTTGTTATATTTTATAATTAATTTTATTATTGTAATAAGTTGTGGACATCTCAATAAATGTTTGATCTGACTTTTCCATTGAACTGTGACTTGTTTCTGAAAAGATCAAGCAAAAAAGTGAACCTTTGTTCATCCCAACTTCAACAAAAATTCATTTTTTACAAGAATTAATAATTTTTACCATAAAAATTTACTAGAGCCGTCGTTCCAGGGTGTCTAGCTTTTTTTGAAAAAATTAAAGAAAAAAGGTCACATTTACATTACAATTGACTAAGATTTTTATTTTTTTACAAATTTTGATTTTTCCCGTCCTCGAAGGGTTAAAAAAACAATTAAAAATTTATTCTAATTATTAAAGCATAAAGCAAAAATACATTACATTTTTATTTTATATAATAAATATATAAGTCGCAAATTAAATTAACTTTTATTATTTGTTAGCTCAATGCATTGTGCGTACATTTCGTAGCGTAAAACGCCCAATTGATACAAAAAGCATTATTATAAATGCTCTGTATATGAATAGTTTATTTATTATAACATGATAAAGAATACAATTCGTTCTCTTTGTTGTAGACAAATATAATAATCAAAATTTTTAGCGTTTTTCGACATATTTGTGTTCCTTCTGTCATGGAGTATATTGTCGACTTTAATTTTTTATTCTTCTTTTGAAAAAAAAGATCAGTTCATCTCAAAGCAAATTTAATTGTCCAATTTTATTTTTTCTTTGTAATACAGTATGTTTAGAACTGTTAATTCTGGAATTAGGGTAATTTTTATTTAAATGGTGGTTGTGTTTTTATAATGAAATAAATGCAAATAATGGTTGAATTAGTATAGTTATAATAACATTAATCATAACAACAAAATAGTTGATTATTATAATTAAATAATACCAATAAATGTGATACTTCTGAAAATGTTTGTAACAAACAGTAAAATTGTACTTAAATAAACTGGAAAATATATCCTAAAAAAGTTTATCATTTTCTGAACAAATCAATCAAATATTTGTTTTTTTCTGTTTTTTGGTCTTTTTTTCTAAACTTACACTTTATTGTCCCAATTTACGAAGCCCTGCTTATACTCGACTGTAAAAATACAACTTGATGTTCAAGTCTGCCAAGCTCAGTTGAACTTGTTGTTTTTTTATTTATTTGATGAAATAAAAGTTGTTTGTTGTTGAGTCATCATGTTGTGTCTATTTTTAACAGAACATAATGTTTGCTAAACCATTTTTTTACAATAACAGCACCATTCATTGTTGTTGCAAATTCTGAGCTTAAAAATTAAATTGGTCAATATTTTCAAGTTTTGATTGAAAAAAATGGGATTCATAACAAACAAAATGATATAAAAAACAAAATTAAATAACAAAAATAATAACCCATTTTTGTTGATTAATAAGGTCAATAGAATAAAAATGTTTATGGACAAATTTTGGTCGTTTTTTGGTTTAATAATATCTAAAATTATAACTAATTTTTAAAAAGGTAAGAAATTTGTCGAACTTTTCACTTTGTCAATTATTTGTTGACTGTAATTATTATTTACACGATAATTAAGAATTTATAATAACTAAACTAATAGTTTATTAACATAATAAACCCTGATTTGAAAATATATTGAAACAATATAATTGTTTTTAATAAAATATTTACAAGAGTAAATCATAACTATTAATATATATTTTTATTTATTATATTTTTAATTTTTTTAAAAAGTAATTTACATGAAATTTTTATAATTTTTGTGATGTATACAAATATCACGCGTTTAATAAATAGAGAAATTCAGTAAAAAGCTTTAATGGGCAAATTTTTATATTTGCTTCAATTGCTATTGATCGGTGTATCCTCTGAAAAATGCGAAGCCGGGTATTATCTAAGTGGAGTTGATTGTGTAGAGTGTAAAGATGGATATTATTCAGTTAAAGGAACTGTTGACGAATGCACAAAATGTAACGAGTTGTGTGCGGCCTGCGATAAAACAAATGGGAATTGCACAAGTTGTGTTAGTGGGTGTAGTTTCAATGGTCGCAGCTGCTCATTGTGTCCAGCTGGGTATTTTTCAAATGGTGGAACACAATCATGCACAGTGTGTCATGATGGTTATTACTCGCTTGGTGGTGCTTCTGCGTGTTTAAGTTGTGATTCTACATGTAATAGTTGTGATAAAACCAATGGCAACTGCACAACATGTAATTCTGGTAATATCTTGACGGATGGCAGATGCACACTATGTCAGGCAGGGACGTATCAAAATGGCGATGTGTGTGTGGAGTGTCCGACTAATACATATTCATCAAATGGTTTTGCTTTATGTAGAAAGTGCGACACGACGTGTCTGACATGCAATTCAACGAATGGGTATTGCACATCGTGTCAAATTGGATATGCCACCAACAACGAAGTGTGTACAATGTGTGCAAGTGGATATTATGAGCACAATAACGCATGCAAGCCGTGTGAGAATGGGACGCATTCATCGACAGGTGGGAGCACTGAATGCAAGCCGTGTCAGGGTGGGTATTACAGTCTGATTGGGTATTCTGAGTGTGTACATTGTGATGGTCTGTGTGGTGATCACTGTGATACTGCAAGTGGGAAGTGTCTGAGTTGCATAAGTGGATATGTCTTACAACCAACAGGCGAGTGTGTTGGCTGTGAAGGTGGGCAATATGCAAATACAGCAACAAACAGCTGCAAGTTGTGTGCTGCTGGAACGTATTCAGAACAGAATGCGACGTCTTGTACAAGTTGTGTTGAAGGGTACTATTCCTTTGAAGGTGCCACCAGATGTAAGGCATGTGCATCTGTTTGCAACACCTGCAACAAAACAACTGGTGTGTGTCTGACATGCTATACTGGATATCAACTGAACGCTTCGCAGAGCTGTGAGATATGCCAACGTGGAACACACTCGTATGGCATAAAATGTGTTGATTGTGAAGAGATGAAATACCAAAGTGAGGAGGGGCAGTCTCTCTGTCTTGCATGCAACACAAACTGTGCGTCGTGTGATAAAACAAATGGAAAGTGCACCACATGCAAAGCTGGATATGGTTATGATGATGGAAATTGTACATTGTGTCATGATGGCAACTATTCCACAGGTGGGACTGGCAGTTGCAAACCATGTCCAATTGTTTGTGAAAAATGCATCAGAGAAAGTGGCGTGTGCTCGTTGTGTCCATCTGGTTTTAAGAAAATTGGAGATAATTGTACATCTTGTTCATCAAATGGAAATTGCAATTCGTGTAATTCAAACGAAAATGAGAGCAACAGGGTGTGTGTTGAATGTGCAGAGAATTACTATTTAAATGATGAAGACAACAGCTGCAACTTGTGCAACACAATTGATCCCAATTGTGTGAAATGTTCACAAAGTGCAAAAGTGTGTGTTGCATGCAAAGACGACTTTGTGACAGATGGCACTTCGTGTTACAAATGTGGTGCAAGCGAAGTCAAAATCGACACACAAAGCTGCATGAAATGTTATGACGCCATCAACAACTGCAACGACTGCACTTTCACAAACACCACCTTTGTGTGTGTTAGATGTTTTGCGCCATATGCGGTGTCAACTAACAGCAAGTCGTGTGTGTTGGGTTACACCGAAGGTACTTATTACAACTACGACATAAAGACCTCAACATTGAATTATGATAATTGTGTGAGACAGGTGAACGCAACGTGCATACAATGTAAAAACAGCAATCTGCTTGTCAACGGGAGTTGCATTGGTGTTGAAAGTAACTGCGTAAGACACTCGACAACGACGTGTGATGTGTGTGCGACAGAAATCATCACAACTACAAACTGTGGAGAAATCACAAATAACTGCAAATACACAAAAATAGTGAATGGCGTTGGTGAGTGTCTCCAATGTCAAAGTGACGAGTTGTGTGGACTGCAACAACAGCACTGCGCAATATCAAACAACTCGTTTTGTTATTTGGCAGCAACTGGATATTCTTCAACAACAAATGGAATAATGGAGTGTATGAGTGGCAGTGTTTGTATTCAAATCAGGTCTGATGAAATTGATTATAAGTGTTATAATCCATATGTGTTTGATGGCAATTACAAATGTCATGACGATGTCAAATGCAGCACAACCAAGTCAAGTGATTGTGTTGAATGCGTCACAAATCACCACATTGAAGACTACGCATGCACACAAAACACAATTGCAAATTGTGAAATCCAAAACAAAGACATCTGCATTAAATGTGATGCAACTACAATCACATCAAATGGGAAGTGTTACTCAACTGACAATTTGGATTGCGCCGAGTTTGATGATGTGTGCAAAAAGTGTTCAGCAGACAAATACAAAACACTTGAGAAATGTGAGTTGGTTGAAACACAATTCCCATCATGCCAGTCTGTTATTGGAGAACACTGTGCTGAGTGTAAATATAACAACAATTTAATCGACGGCATTTGTGTGACAAACACACTACAAAACACAACAAACAATTATTTTAAATACATTTCAAATCAATTGCAAAACACACAACAAAAAAATTATAAAAGTGGCACCAAAATATTATTAAAATTGGAAGAAAAAGACGAGTCGAATTGCATTGAAAAGAGTTCAAAAGGGTGTTTGCGATGTGCTGACACGTATTACATTGAAAACGGCGTTTGTGTGAAGTGCGAATACCCCTGCACACACTGCTCAAATCTGACATTCTGCACAAAGTGTGACCAATACTCGTATCCAAACACAAATGGGAATTGCACAACTCTTGGAGAAATCATTACAACATGTTTGGCGATGATGCCAAATTACGATGGATGCGCTATTTGCAAAGATGGATACAAACGATCCACCGATGGCAAAAGTTGTGACAAATGCGATGAATCTTGTGCAACATGTGATGTCTTTGGTAATTGTATTGACTGCAACAACACATTCTATCGAGTTGATACAAGTGACAAATACTGCAGACCACAAAGTGAGTTAATTGGATGTGTCAATTCGAGTACTTATGGCTGCTTGATATGTGGCGATGGGTATTATTTACACACAAATGTGTGTGATAAGTGTGATGACAATTGCACACTCTGTACATCACTGACAGAGTGCACAAGTTGTGTTGTAACACATATTTTAGTCGACTCACAGTGTGTCCATTTCTCGAGTATTTTAAATTGTGTTTCTGCATCAGACAACAAGTGCATGCAATGTGCTGACAATTTCAAAGTCAATACAGAAGGCACTCAATGCGACAAAAAGACGAACTATGGCTTGGTCGTTGTTCTTCCAATTCTTTGTATATTATTATTAGTAATAATACTATTTATTATTATTATAACAACGTTGATCGTTATACACCGAAATCACAAAAAAGAACAAGAAAAAGGAATTTGCGTGTTTGAAATGAAACGTTCGAATGTTTCAATGAAAGTACTCAAAAATGGGGTATTAACAAACAAAACTGAAATTAATTACAACGACTCGAATGAATTTATTCCAGTGGAAGCGGAGAGTAAAGAACTTCTTTGTGTTGGGAACAAAAAAAAAGGAAATCTAAAAGTTCAAATCACCACACAAAGTTCTTCTGAGAAATACACAATCAGAACAGAACCAAAAATAGTGACTTTGAAGAGTGGATTTGCATGTGAATTTGAAGTCTTTTTAACTCCCCATTGTACACTCAGTTTGGAAGACAAAATCGCGATTGTCACTTTAGATATATCAACAGGGGAAATGGCGACTTTCCCAATAAATTTGTTTGTTAAAACAGAGAAGACGACGCGACTTGACTTCGATGATATCGTTGAAGAGAAGAAACTTGGGGAAGGGTCTTTTGGTATTGTCTACAAAGGAAAATATGAAGGCGCTGTTGTTGCTATTAAGAAGATGAAAGAAGCAAATAACACTACAAGTTCAATTGCTGAATTCGAGAAAGAAGTTTCTATGTTAGACAAATTTAGAAGTGATTACATCATTCACTTCTATGGCGCTGTTTTTATACCAAACAAGATTTGCATGGTCACCGAATTTGCAAAATTTGGCAGTTTACAAGACTTAATTAAAAACAAAAGAAGTGAAAAAATCGAGACTAAGTTGCGAGTAAAAATGATGATAGACGCAGCTAAAGGAATTCTGTATTTACATTCAAATGGGATATTACACAGAGACATCAAGCCAGACAACATTCTTGTGTTATCACTTGATGTAAATGAAAAAGTCAATGCTAAATTGACAGACTTTGGATCATCAAGAAATATCAATATGCTGCAAACTAACATGACATTCACTAAAGGTATTGGAACACCAAAATATATGGCGCCTGAGGTGTTAGACAGAAAGAAATACAAAAAAGCGTCAGATGTCTATTCGTTTGCTATAACTATGTTTGAGGTGTTACAATGGGATTTTGTGTTCAAAAAAGATGATGAGAGGTTTCAACATGTCTGGAATATCGCCGATTTCATTTCTAATGGTAAACGATTTGCCAGACCAAATAATATTTCGATGAATGAATTTGATATCATTCAAAATGCTTGGGCACAAGACCCCAAAGATCGAATTTTAATTGGAAAAGTTATTGAAAAACTGGAGGAATTAAATCATTGATTTATTTTCAATATTCTTTATTTAATTTTTTTTTCATGTTACTACAACAAGTCAATAAAAATAAGTCCAGTTCGTTTAAAATTATAGTAAAATATAATATTTATTGTTATAAAATGAATAACATTTTTTATAAATTAAAAAACATTAATTAGAAACCAAAAAATAAAAATATAAATACTTGTAAAAATAAACAATAAAATACAATCTTTTGGTTTAGATATTTGTAATTTACTTGTCACCCATCCTATTTTTTAAATCAGTAAAACATTTTTTGTAAAGGTGTCAATGTGTATAACCATGTTTTAAAAATAAATAAAAAACTTGTTCGATATTATTCAAATGGTATTTAAATAATAAGTCGAAATTTGGTTACTTGTCTAAACCCCAATACCACATTTGTATTGAGCTGTTTTATTTACGCATTTAATCTACTAATGAGATGATTTATTGTAATTAAATAACTTATAATTATTATCAAAAGGATGTGATTCCAATTTATAACCTTTGCATTAAAGCGTAAAAAACGTGAAAATTAAGTAAGCTTAATACTATTAAGACACTTAAATATAGTTAATAATTAGTTATTGATTAAATTTAAAACGAATTATTCTTATGACAATTACTTGGTCTTTGATTTGTTTGGTTACATGTAAATTATTCTATTTAAAAACTCATAACATTACAAAGAACAATTACCATTCGTTTTATCATGTGCTACACATATAAAGCTTATTGTTTGTGATAACTTATTAATAATCTAAATTTTATGTTTCAACAATATAATAAACAATTGTAATTTAAATAATGATAAGTTGAAAATACTCATTCAAATATCTTTTAAAATTGTTGCGCACTTACTGATTGTTAAACAACACTTGAAAAGTTATTTCAAATAATCATTTAAAAAATACCAGTTAATATTGTTTTAATATTTTATCAATTTTTATTATTTTTTCAATAAAATAGTTAAAAGTTCATAAAATTATTAAAACTTACAGCCAAAGGCGTCTATTTGTCGTAATTATAATTGTCGAACTTGCTTAATTGTCGCACAACTGGCCAATCATTTGGGTGTACGACAATTAAATATTTTGTTCTGGAATCTGTAACTTTTGTTGAATAAAAAACTAATTTTTTATAAAAAATAAATTTTAATATTAAAAAAATTACAAAATTCACCATTTAGGACAAATAGATACCTTTATCTGTTGGATTCACGACAAATAAACGCATTTGACTGTAATATTTTTGAAATTTTTAAATAATAAAATTTATCTAAAATGTTATTTAATATAAAGTCAGTTTAAAAACCTTATTGATTCAAAAATTTTTATTTATTTATTTTCCTTTTAAAAAAGCAAAATTAAGATGTTTGAAAAAATATTATTATTATTTAAAATATTTTCTAATAACACAACCAAAAACATAAATGGGGTTAAAGTCATTTAGCCAATCATTTCATTTTCTTTTCTGTTTGTCAAAAAAATAATAACATTATTGTTATTATTTACCCAAAATAACAGGAAAATACCATTAACGAACTGAGTTTTTGGATCATTTTCTTTGAGAATTTCGCTTTTGGTCGTAAATATTTTTTCAGCTTTTTAAACAAACTCTTTTGGGAGAGTAAATTGACATCCACATTGTAAGGACATTTTACATGAATAATTTTTACTTGACCTACGAATTACATTTCGATGTTTGAGTCTTTCAACTGTGGTGTTTTTGATTGTGATTTGTTTTATTTTGATGATATCCAAGTTGGTTGTTGTCAAATTATCGTGTTGTATTTATCACTTTACAAAAAAAAATGTTCGCCCAACTACTGTTTACAACAACGACACCATTCCATTTTATATCAGATAATGTATGAATGTAAAAATAATTAAATTGGTTATTTTGTCTAAATTTGTTTTGATTGAAATATTTTTCAAGCGAAAAATATTTTATGAAAACAAAACCAAATAACAAAAATAATTTATTTTTGTAGATAAACAAGGTTACAAAACTGACTTAAATTAAAATTAAATTTTTGTCTAAAAAACCAAAAATAAATTATTCTTTGTTAAAATAAAATATTTGAATAAAAATACCTTTTTGAAAAACTGATATAATAATGAAAAAATAACACTTAACCTGTTATATGTAAAAGTTAATTATTCATTGAATTGTATAAAAACATACAATTCAGTTAAAAGTTATATTTGAATTAATATAATTATTTACAAATTTAAATAACAAATACAGTATAATCATTTTGCTTTTTGTTAAATTATTTTTTGTAATTTTTCTTATAGTTAATAATTAATTATATTTCTATGTAAAATCATTAAACAAGTTTTTGTAAAAAACACCGAAAACATTTGAATTTTAAAATTTAAATATAATTCAAATTATTTTTAATTTAGTTATAATAGTCTTGCATAAGCAAATTTTTACAATAAACAAGGTTATCATACCGAATAAACAAAAATAATCAAAAATTTATTGTTTTCTGACACATTATTTAAACTATTTACCATAAAAAATCTAATTATATTGATAAAAAAATTCAAAAACAACAACTTGTTTTTGGATAAATTCAATAAACATCTCTAATTAAAGATGTTATACTTTTTTCGCTTTTTATTTTATTTATAATTATTTTGTTTACGTTTTGAGCAAGCATTTAAAAATAAATCCTTAACATTTAATAAATTACTTTTCGAAAATTGTAAAGAATTAACACTTTTGCCTATATGACATTATATTCAACTCTGCTGTTTAAAAAAATATTAACAACACAATTATTTTATTTTGTTTGTTTAAAATTTCAAATGAAAAATATCGAAAAAACACGAATCTTTACAACACATGTTAATAAATATATATTTAGCAAAAAATTGTTATTTAAATCAATTTTTGCAACTTTAAATTATCAATGTTTGCTATTTTATTAATTACATTAACTTCAGCCAGATACTTGGTTTCTTCCACAGAAGGGTTTTATGTTGTGTATAAATTAGGCCAGTGTTATTACCAAGATAAAAATGAATATTTGAAAATAGAAGAAGATGGTAATATTATAAAAATGTTCCTTTCTTCAACATGTAGTGACTGGAACGAAGACAGTCCTGAACAATTAACTGAAACTGATAAATTTCAAGATGATTTGCCTGAGTATTATTACATTATGAATACTTATGTTGAACACAGTGACTGTAAATTTGATGACAGTGACGCTCACCCAATTCAATTCTTGTACAAGCAATGTACCACTAATACAGAATCATCTTCGACTAAAGCAGAAATAACAAACAAAATACTAAAAACGACAATGTACAACACAGCAGATTGCACAGGTGACTCTGAAACCCCAATGACTCATGAACTTGAAAAATGCGTAAATACGATATGGGTTATGTCATTTATACTGAAGGTGCTTTTGAAGTCTACGCGTTCCTTGCTTTTTGCATTGCACTTTTGTTTTAGATTTTAAACAATTGATTAGCTTTTATTTTTGATGAATGTTTTTTAATCTGAAACTGACACATCTACATTTTATTTTTTAATAATTTATTAATAAAATATAATTATTATTTCATCGTTATTTAACAATTTTCATTATTTTATAATATTATCAATTATAATTAATAGTTTAATTTTGTATAATATAAATATAATATTAATAAACCATTTTTTAGTATATTATACATTTTAATATTTTATAATTAAATTATTAACTGTTGTTTTAAGTAAAAAAACGACCGCGGACAAAGTCACCATTTGTAAAGAAAAGGTTTTGGAGATCACATAATTAAACAATACCATAAATATTACTAAAACTACTTTATTTTTGTCCTAAAAACACTTAAAAAATATTCCTTTGCATTGTAAAATGCAATTTTGGGACATGGTACAAATACAAATCACCCTGTTGTGTGATTGGCATTATTACAACACAGCTAATTTTTTTATTGTTGAACAAAACATTTTTTAATAATCCAATTTTGATTTAAATAAATTACGTTATTAATAAATTCTTTTTAAAATTGTTTTAATTAAAAAACTTTAAAATATAAAATTAGTATTATTATATTTTTTTGTATCAAACCAAGACGCACTCCTTTTTTATAGGTGGTGGAACATATTTATTTTGATCTTTCAGCACTTCTATTTGTGTCTCAATTGCGTATGGTAAAACAGCCTCGAACAGGTTATCGATAGCAACATTATCATTTATACTAACTTTAAACTTTTCTATATAAACATTTGAGTGTTCTTTTTTCTCACAAATAAATTTATCTATAATATTTTCATCAACAACGCAAGGTAAATCAGCTTTAGTTCCACAAATGATTCTGGGAACTTTACCTTTAAATGGTCCATACCTTCTTAATTCTTTGTATCTATTGCGAAGATTTTTTTCAAAATCATTGTTATCTGTCACATCAAACACATAAATAAACATGGTTGAGTTGCAATATAAATAATAAGATTCGTACTTAAGTTCAATGTCATATATTAACAGTTGCAGCTTTCTATTTTTAAAAACCATAATTTTTTTATATATATTTTTGTCTTCACCATAATATTTACAATACTTTTGTATCAATGAAGTTTTACCAACTTTTGGTAAACCAACTACAGATATTTTAATATTTAAAGTGTCTTCTTTCTTTAGTTTATAAGACATTTTATATTGTTCGAATTTTAAGTTTCATTAAATATTATTATTTATTTATATTTAAATAATTTTATTTTGAAAAAATCATTATGCATTTTAAAATCATTTTAATTGAATAATATTTAATTTTTTAATACTTTTGACGTTTTTAATTGTGCAAAAAATACACAAAAATTAAGTTAAAAAATGGGAATTAAGCAAAAACTTACAAATATTGGAAAAAACTGAAACTTTGTTTTTAAAGTTTTAAATTTTTTCTCAATTAATTACCGTTATTACCATCTAAAAACAAAAAGAAAGTCTACAGAATGATTTTTTTCCATAAAATCATTTC